TGTCCCACAAGAGTGTCGTACAAGAGTGTCCCGTAAGAGTGTCTCACAAGAGTGTCACACAAGAGTGTCCCGCAACCGTGTCCCACAAGAGTGTCTCACAAGAGTTAAGAGTGTCCCACAAGAGTGTCCTATAAGAGTGTCCCACAAGAGTGTCCCACAAGAGTGCCCTACAAGAGTGTCCCACAAGAGTGTCCTACAAGAGTGTCCCACAAGAGTGTCCTACAAGAGTATCCCACATGAGTTTCCTACAAGAGTGTCCTATAAGAGTGTCCCACAAGAGTGTCCCACAAGAGTGTCCTACAAGAGTGTCCCACAAGAGTGTCCCAAATGAGTGTCCCACAGAAGTGTCCCACAAGAGTGTCCCACAACAGTGTCCCGCAAGAGTGTCTCAGAAGAGTGTCCCACAAGAGTGTCCCACAAGAGTGTCCCGCAAGAGTGTCACAAATGGGTGTCCCACAGGAGTGTCCCACAAGAGTGTCCCGCAACAGTGTCCCGCAAGAGTGTCTCACAAGAGTGTCCCTTAAGAGTGTCCCACAAGAGTGTCCCGCAACAGTGTCCCACAAGAGTGTACTACAAGAGTGTCCCACAAGAGTTTCCTACAAGAGTGTCCCACAAGAGTGTCCCACAAGAGTTTCCCACAAGAGTGTCCTACAGGAGTGTCCCACAAGAGTGTCCTACAAGAGTTTCCTGCAAGAGTGTCCCACAAGAGTCTCCTACAAGAGTGTCCCACAAGAGTGTCCCACAAGAGTGTCCCGTATGAGTGTCCCACAAGAGTGTCCCATAAGAGTGACCCACAAGAGTGCCCTACAAGAGTGTGCAACAAGAGTGTCCCGTAAGAGTGTCCCACAAGAGTGTCCTACAAGAGTATCCCACAAGAGTTTCCTACAAGAGTGTCCTATAAGAGTGTCCCACAAGAGTGTCCCACAAGAGTGTCCTACAAGGGTGTCCCACAAGAGTGTCCCAAATGAGTGTCCCACAGGAGTGTTCCACAAGAGTGTCCCTCACAAGAGTGTCCCTTAAGAGTGTCCCACAAGAGTGTCCCACAAGAGTCCCACAAGAGTGTCCCGCAAGAGTGTCCCAAATGGGTGTCCCACAGGAGTGTCCCACAAGAGTGTCCCGCAACAGTGTCCCGCAAGAGTGTCTCACAAGAGTGTCCCTTAAGAGTGTCCCGTATGAGTGTCCCGCAACAGTGTCCCACAAGAGTGTCCTGCAAGAGTGTCCCACAAGAGCTTCCTACAAGAGTGTCCCACAAGAGTGTCCCACAAGAGTGTCCCACAAGAGTGTCCTACAGGAGTATCCCACAAGAGTGTCCTACAAGAGTGTCCCACAAGAGTTTCCTTCCAGAGTGTCCCACAAGAGTGTCCCACAAGAGTGTCCCACAAGAGTGTCCCGTAAGAGTGTCCCACAAGAGTTTCCCACAAGAGTGACCCACAAGAGTGTCCCACAAGAGTGTCCTACAAGAGTGTCATTTGGACATATGTAGCTTTTCGAACGTGTTTGCATTCGGGTTCGTGGGCTCCATCTTGTTGCAAAGCAATTCGCAGGATCGCCAGGCGGCGTCCCATGTTTCAAGGCCCCCAGACACACCCCACGCGTTGGTAGAAAGCCGTTGGTTCTTACCCGCTTGTGAGAGGCCCTTGTTCGGGAACTCCTGGCCACCAGTGCTCCCTCGTCACTCGGGGCTGCTTGTTCCCGAATGCGTAACGAAGGGTTCTCGTTTAACTCTGGTGGTCTGGGGGTAGAGCCTTGTTCGCAACCCGTTGTCTCAGCATCCGCAACCGTCCTCAACCGTTCGCAACCGACTGCGTGAGGACGCTAAGGCCGCTGCCATTGGGGGAAGCTTTTGGAGAGGGTTTCGGATGGAAATGTGATTTGTCAGATTCGTGTGAAAAAGCGAGGAATCGTGTGGAAACGTCAGACGTTGAAGTGTGGCGGATGATTTCACCGCGCAGGCGCAGCGTTTTGTGAGATCGGCAAGATTCAGAAAGAGCTGGGAGAACATGTAGCTGATTTTGAGCCTGAGCTGCCATCGGTGACCTGCCTATGCAAGATGCAGCCCCTGAGGGTGGAACTGCGATGGAAGTTGATGAGGCTCTTGACACCGAGATGGGAGAAGAACCTCTACCTATGTTGGACGCATTGTGCGTGCGTCCCATCTTTGTTGATCAGTTGACATCACCGAGTGTATTCGACTGTGAACGTCTTGTGGCTGACTCCATTCGTTTCGATCCAGATACTCACAATGGGTTCGAGGAAGTGGACTTGTGTGGGACCAAGGTTCGCGTTTGGAGACCATCTGGAGCAGTCAGCGATACCACGCTAGTGGAACTTGATCCCGAGGGGACATTCAAGGGCATGATCAAGGAGGTCAAAGAGGTTTGACCACCGTGAAGGCAGGAGTTGTCTTGACCACACCTGAGATGACAGCGTTCTGTGAGAAGCATGGCATCAAGCCCATACCTTGTCGTTGGGTCACGGCTGAGAAGCCCGAGGCCGCCGAGGGCGTGCGTGCCCGTATGGTTGTTAAGAACATAGCCCGAGGGGCAGCCACCGCCAGAGCACATGGCATTAGTAGCCCAACACCCAGTGTTGAATCGCAGCGAGTGTTGCTTGGCATCGCGTGTGGTGCATGCGGCATTGATCCGATGGCCTTGTATGCCATTGACGTCTCACAGGCATTCACGAACGCCCCGCTGGAAAATCATCGTGTTGTTACCGTGTTGTTGTGAAAATGCCATTGTCAGTCTCTACAACGTCAGGAGAACCTGTGTACCTTGAAGCGCACAAAGGTCTCAATGGCCTGCGAGTTGGTTCTCTTGCTTGGGTTCAGTTCTTTTCCAAACTTGTGAAACAGGCAGGTCTAGAGTCTAGTTTGACTGAGCCGTGTTTGTATTCTGGTTTGGTAGGTGGCGTTCCCGTTGTGCTGATTTGCTATGTTGAGTTTTGTTGGCTACACCAAAAGAAAGTGCATACAAAAATATTTTTGCTTTGCTTGAGAAGCATGTGAAGATTCGTGAAACTGGACGAATCGCCCAGAGTGGGGGAACGCTCAAATTCCTCGGAAGAACCATCACCAGGAAAGCAGGTAGCCCAGCTTTGTTTTTGCACGTTGATTGCACGTACATGGGTGAGTGCTTTCGTGAGTATAGCATTGAGAAAGGTAGTTCCAACTTTCCTGACATTCGTGGAGCAATTGAAGATACAGTGAATCGAGAACCCATTCTGTGCAGTTACATTGGGATTAGTGATTAGCGTTTGGAGAGTTGTGTTTTTGGGGTGTTGGATGTGGCTGTGCCATTGGGATTCAGGGTGTTGCATCGAAGCTCTGTTTTCGTGACAAGTCTCAGCTGAAATGGCGATTTTGGTGGATGGGAGTGTGCTCAGAACGGGTCGAAATCATTCCAAACGTGTGATGTGGTGTAAGTTTTGTTGAAGCTCACATGATATGATATGGTCACTTTTCGTGGCAGGCGGTACTTTGCACGGGTTTTGAGGTATGGAAGCGAATGTCGCTGTGACATTGGGATTGGCGTGTCAGCGGGCGCTGTTTGGAACGGCTGGAATCGCGAAACTGCTTGGCAGGGCTGCTTGATGCGCGTGCTCCGATGGACCTTCCCGCTTGTCTTTTGGAGCAAGCCTCGCGCGAACAGCTCGTTTTGCAGACTTTGACATGTTAGTTTTTGAGGAAGTCTCGTACGAAACGCTCATTTTGGAGACTTGACATGTGAGTTTTGGAGGACGTCTCGAACGAAACGCTCGTCTTGCAACTCGAAGCGTGACTCTTAGAGAGGAAGTCTCGAACGAAACGCTCCATTTGGAGACTGCGCGCGTGACTTTTGGAGGAAGTCTCGACAGAAACGCTCGTTTTGCAGACTCCCTGTGCCCTGCGGATTTGCACGGCCCTGGTGGAAAGTGCGTTTGCGTGGCGCCCTGCCACTGGGGAGCGCGAAACATGCTGGTGTAAATGCGGCGTGTCGCTGGTGAGCGGGATGATTGGTGGTATCATGTGATATGTTTGCTTCTAGTGTGTGGCGGACCGCGTGGCGAAATTACGTCCGTGATGTCGCAGTGCCATGCGGATTTGCACGGCCTTGGTGGAAAGTGCGTTTGCGATGAGCCGTGCCACTGGGGAGCGCGAAGCATGCTGGTGTGAACGTGGCATGTCGCTGGTGAGCGACAAGAGTGTCCCACAAGAGTGTCCTACAAGAGTGTGAGCACCAAGAGTGTCCCACAAGAGTGTCCTAGAAGAGTGTCTCACAAGAGTGTCCCACAACAGTGACCCACCGAAGTGTCCTACAAGAGTGTCTCACAAGAGTCCCGTAAGAGTGTCCCACAAGAGTTTTACTACACGAGTGACCCATAAGAGTGTCCTACAAGAGTGTCCCAAAAGAGTGTCCTAGAAGAGTGTCCCACAAGAGTGTCCTACAAGAGTGTCATTTGGACATATGTAGCTTTTCGAACGTGCTTGCATTCGGGTTCGTGGGCTCCATCTTGTTTTTTTCCGAAAAGATAGGAAACACCCATGGCCAGCATCTCTCTAGATGACCATTGACCATCCCACCATTTCTGCTAATTACAAATTTTAGATGACCATCTACCATGACCCATCTCTCTCTCTCTCTCTCTCCCCATCCTCTCCTTCCGCCCCCCCTCTTCGCCGCCTCTTAGGCCACGCCGTGGTGTCCGAGGTCCACGAACCCCACGAGGTCCACGAACCACCCGAGGCCGAGGACCTGGGGCACCGAAGGAAGCGATCCGATCCACCTCCTGGAGGGCCGGGTCCAACGGCGTTCATGTAGACCCGTAGATCCCCCACAGGAGGGACCACATAATCCACATATATAAAAGTGCAAGCATAGATCATTGATCATAATACAAATATACAGAATCAAATATATAATAAATATATATATAACAGGATATTGTAGCAGCTTTGCATGCCTCTTTTTCTTTCAAAACTGCATCCTGCTAACTTGCCAGCTGCTACCAGCAGCGCAAAGTCAGACAAAAACGTCTCGGGTGGGTTCCGGCCAGCCCTGAGTACACTCATTTTCAGGAGCCCAAGAGATGAGGCCCTCGTACCAAACTGCCCCCTTTGGGTCGTCGTGGAAATAGACTTCCACCGTCCCATCGCTCTCCACAGCGCTCACCTCCATGGTGTCGCGCCCCTCGATCTTGGTGAATTTTGGAGATCGACAATAGTTTAATGCGTATGGAGAGTGGTAGACCCTTTCGGACTGTGCAAACCAGTGCTCCACATGCTCCTTGCCGTCGGCTAGGGTGTACGTGAGGGTGACTGGAAAGTGGTTTCCATTTTGCTCACCAACGTCCACACCCCTCAAATGTTTCCACACCAGCTGCTTGCCGATGCCTTCCACCGACAGCATATCGTCTAGATCAATGTACGCTCGAATGGGGGGCTGCATCTGCCGTCATCCTGCAAGGCTCTCTCATCGTAGTTAGGGAAGAGCGGACTTGTACAGCCTGGGCGGTAGAAGTAGTGCTCCATGGCCTCCCGTACGGCAGCAGCTCGAAGATGCAACTCTCCATGCGATGTCCAGGGTGGCATCAGAAACAAGCGAGATCAATGAGCTCAGCTCATCGAGGCAGACCGGGGCAGCGGAACTCCATGACGCTTTGAATTGAACTCGACCTATTGATGGTCGGAACTTGGAGTGCCTCCAAAGGTCTCAATGCCCCTGAAGGTGGTGTCTTGCTTGAACTCCTCCTTGTCCACCGAACGATGACGAGGACGTGGCTGTCGCCAAGCTCAGAAGCTCGCTCTGGCCCTCCCGTTTCAGCTCTTCAATGCTGTGATCTTTGGTGTAAGCTTCCCCAGTGTAAGCCCGTTCAGCCATGGCACCCCCCACAAAGCACCGGGTTACGACATGGGTGTTCCTTTGGTCGAAGAAGTGGAAGAACACATCGGCGTTCTCGGCCGAGAAATTGACTGGCAAGGCCTTGACCGATGTCAGGAAGAAGGGGTCGCTGCATACCCCGGGAGGATGGTCAGCTCGTACTTTACGCACCGTGTCCGTGACTGAGACACTGTTTGCTTGCGATTGGACAGGTGGCTACGCACTTCCTTGCTGGACGCCGCATACTTTCCGGCGAATGACTTGAACTTGCCGCCAATGGCAATATCTTCTGTGCTTTCATGCTGGTACTGCTCTGAGGTTTCGACTGAAAGTGTGCTCACCATCCGTTGGCATTCAGGAAGCGGGGCTGGCTGCTGCACACCCCATGGATATGAGTACTCATCGGGGGCGAACGCATTGGTGGAGCAGTTGAAGACCAGCTTGAAGATGTTCCCCGCACTGCGGCTGAACCCGTATCGTGTTGCTGTCAGGATGTCAATGGCCTGCCCCACATGCTGGCTGCCGGGCAGTGGAGGCCCCAAGGCCACTGCCTGCATTGGCAGAGCAAGCATCAGGAAATTCAGCATAGCTCCAAGGCAAGAATCACCAAAGTTTGATACTGCAAAAGCTGCATATTGTATGACAAAAGTTGCTAGACCTGTTGGTCTTACCCTCTCACGCGTTCACAAGTGGAGCGATAAGTTTGCCCGCATTGCAGACCTGTGAAACGAAATGACGCAAAATGATTGCACTCATCAAGAGTCTACAGTAAGGTTTCTCGGCAGACTTGATGGGATCCATAAAACACAAAACGTCACAAGGTGGGGGGTAAGACATGGAAGATCCGACGGTCACACTCCCCGCAACGTCAGCAACGTCAGAAGCGGGCATAGGGCATAGGGTACACTCGCCCGAGGCATCGGAGGACCCCCTTTGGGTCTTGGTCCGAAGACCCACATCAAAAAAATGGAACTGGACCACTTCCGGCAGCTAAAGGGGGAGGGGTAGCAGCTAGCACAGCTCCTAGTAGGTTGTTCCTCTGTTCCACTGGAGCCGAGCCGTCGTGGTCCCCCACCCCGCCTCGCGTAGCAGGCTCATGCAGCACAATCGCGCACGCGGCCGACGAGGGAGCGGTGTTTTGTGCGGGTTTCGTCTTCGAGCCCGAAAGGCCCGTGCGGTGGTTCTAGGTGAACTGGTGCTCTGGTGCGGGTTTCGAGGTTGGGCTTGGCGGTTGGGGAAGAAAGAAAAAGATCTCTAGAATGGTCTAAATGTTCACATCTTCAGCATGTACAGTTGTGTTTTGAAATGGGTAACGCGCTGGATGCTGCAGTTAGTAGGTTTCAAAGTGCTGTTGGGTGGTTCAGGGGGTCAGATTCTCAATAACCGTTCCTGCCCCTCTTCAACTGTATGAAATGATCCTTTCCTTGGAGCCCGCAGCGCGGTTCAGGCGCAGCATCTTCTCTGGCTGAGCCGTCACTTCTGTGGCGTGTCTGATCCTGGACTAATGTAGACTCTTGATTAGTGGTAGGTCGAAGGCCATCACTATTAGGTTGGAGGCCACTAGCTAGTAGATTGGAGGCCATCGCTATTATCGCTGTTACTTGTAGGTCAGCTTGGAGGCCATCGCTACACCTCCCCAGACATGGATTGAACAACCTCTCCATATGGAGTGGTGAGATATCATCAAGTAGTCTACCTCTCCTTCAGTCAGTTCCACCGGGGACCTGGAGATGGCCGGGGCCATTGGAGCAGTCCAATTCCGCACAAGCACCAGAAACGCCCACCGTCCAGACCGACAGAAACCCTCAAAAACCTCCCGAGGTGTCCCGCAAAACAACCTACCGCAGCTCACGAAAAGCTCTATTGGAGACCGTTGTTTCCCCAAAAAATGGACCTCGTCGCGGCAGAGTAAGGGTTGTGAAAGAGTACTGTAGGGGGGTGATTTGTAGAGTACTGTGTGCGCTCCAAGTGAACTCATCTACTCAGGGATACTCAGGATACCCCCACTTGAAGCCTGGTAGCCTGGCAAGAATGGACTTGGGAATCTGTTCGTTCTGAACCGCCAACCCTCTGAGGTGTTCTTCACGGCTTTCTTCTGAACCAACTTCAGGCCATGTCCATCCACCAACACGAAGAGTACCGTCTGCTTCCACGGTGCCTTTTCATCCCATGACTCATCGCCGGCTAGGCCCGGGCCGTGCGTCTGCACGCGCCACATGACCCGCTCAGCATCCTTGGGCATTTGCAGCGTGGTCGCCTCCAGTCTCGGGTCTTATCGGTGAAGACGAGACCCTGTGGGTCAAGCAACCATGTGACAGGTGGGTTGAACAGCACCGGAAAAAAAAAGGAAAAACACCGGGCTTTTCCCACCTGAACAGAATCGACGACCTGACATGGTCAAACCTACCAGGCAGGTAGTCGAGGGATTTGGGCCTTTGGGTGCGACGATGCTGGACTCACAGCGATGGAACCGATCGTTGCCTTGTGCTGGAGCCGATGGTTGTCCCAAACCTCGGGCAGAACGAGTCGTTTTCTCGTGGCTCGAGAGCGAGAGAAGTGGAGGCTGTGAATAGGAGGCCTCCCAACCAATAGGTAGGTAGACTGAGACTGGTCTATCTTCCTTCTTCCAGGTGGTCCAACTGGGAAGTCTCTCTATGTTGACACACACCCAAGTGGAGGCCTCGAGTGGGGGATCTCCTACCCCCCCCGCGCGGCTGGGTCCGCGCTGCACCGCGGCGCTGCCGGGGAGCCAAGACATCCCCCTCCCGCCAGCGGTGACGATAGCCGGGCGCGCGCTGCAGCGCGGCCAGCAGCTGCTTCAAGCAGCTTTGGGACTGCTCCTGCAGCTTGGGGAAGAACACCCGGAGAAGTCCGAAACAGGGTGTTTTTCTTGCTTCGACCGCACTTCGACCGCACTTCTGGGAGGAGGAAATGCGCAGGTGTCACAGTATGATCCGCGAGGTCCGGGCCTGGGACATGGAGTCGATCCGGTGCACGTAGGCTTCGTTCACGAAGACCTGAGAGGTGCGTTCGAGCCCACAACTGCGCACCTGGAGGCACCTGGAGTCAACTGGAGTCAATTGGGGTCCTGTGCAACATGAAAGGATTATAATGGATTCATGGAAAGTAGTGGAAAAGGAAGAGCAAACTCCTGCACCATTTCTGCTGTGATCCTCCACACCGACATCAATGACATCAATCTTCCCCTCGTAAAATGACTCAAATGCAAGAGGGGCCAACCAACCAAAAAACTGCCACCGACTGCAACGACTAGCTAGGAAACGGGGTCCTCTTTGCCAGACAGGTGAGGGATTCAGGAGGCCAGGCGCCAAGAGACCACTTCCTCTCCAGTGATGGGATGTTGGCGTAAGACCGGGTGACAAGCATCTGCAGGAGCTTTGTCCTCGAACTCCGCTAGCGGATGACCCGCATTGTGAGCCTCGGAGCCGAGGAGGGAGGCAGAAACGGTCGAGGTCGATGGGTGTAAAAACGTGTGAAAAGACCCAAAACGACTTCCGTGGCACAAGTGCAAGGATATGCCAAAAAAAGAAGCCCACTCTCTGATGGTAGATTCAAAACGCTGGCAAAGATGAGCTGTTCGCGCGAGGATGTTCGCACGCAACTTCGCCCTGTCGTCCTTCCCTTTGTCCTCCCCAAAGGGGCGTGCTCATCCTGGAGCCCAGACATGACCTCTGATTGTCTAGAGGTCACTCCAGTTCTAGATCAAAACGAACTTTCCTGAGTCACGTTGAGATAGTTCACGCGATCATGTGCCACCAGGAGAATCTTGCTGGAAAAGAAAAGTCGATCTCGCAGGTGTCCGTCGATGACGTGTCAACCAACTGCGGTCTTCGTGTCTTGAACAGGTCTGCGGTTCGATAAAGAAAATCACTTTGAGCTTAGGTCTTCGTGTGTTTAAAGAATCCTTGGTCAAGAACCAAAGCTTGCTTCTGCGGGTGGATGAAAACAACTCTCTGGCCTCTGTTCGAGGCTCCTCCAAAGAGGGCACTTGGGCCTTCTGTCTTCAAACCAGTTGGCTCATGAACACATCTCTGGAGCTTGCTAGCGGCCAAAGAACCAGGTGTGGACACATCTTTGGGAGCTATGGGAGCCCCTTTTCAAGGTGATGGGAGCCGCAACATGTGATACCCCCGCCCCGTGGCGCTGGCGCAAGAGTCCTTGACCTTTAACTGTACTCATTTCGCGATGGGGTTGCTAATTCCCACCTCCAAGCTGCCAAGTTGTGCCTGGCCCGCAGAGAGGCCATCTGCTCCAGCTGAGCTTTCTCCAAATGCGGCCGCACCGCCTTGAGCCCAGCATCCAGGAAGAGCGTGTCGCCCAGAGGACCCTGGCGATTGAGATCTGCCCGGCTTCTGGAAGATCATCAAAGGGTCTATGAATCTGTCAGAAAGGGGTCAGAGTAGTCTGTCACAAAGTACTAGGGCATAGGGCTCCCAGGGCTTAGGACAAGGGGACAAGCTTGGCTTGTAACGGTGGGACCTTAAAATCCGAAGGAAAAAAAGAATCAGTGGCCCACATAGGATTGTCAGATGATGTTGCAGCTCAAACAGCTTAGTCCTAATGGAACTTGTTATTCAAAGTCCTGGGAATATCCTATCTCACAAATTGTCAGTTCCCTTTTCTACCTTTGCCAAATCTGTCAATGCTTCAGGCTTGCTTCAGTGCTCCCATTCCAGCTTAGTGTAAGGGCTGGTAGGTTCACATCAATCGGGGCGGAAAATGCTGAAGAACAGGGCAGTTGGGGTCAGCGAAAACGGCCGTTTTCGCCCAACTGGTCGGTTCACAGCTCATAAACCCTGTTGTTTAAGGTCAGAGCTCATTCGACGCCGACCCCAAAGAGCCAGGCCCGAGACGACCCTCGGTGACCCTCGGCTCTCCCGGTTCTCGCCTTTTTGGGGGGTCAATACCATCAAGACCCTAGACAAAAGAACCATATCTAAGAAACTACTAAAGAAGGTCAACCTTCCAAGGGCCGGGGGAACTCTTGCTGGGTGCACTTGCGCCGCGCCTCAGTGCCCTGTGGCACTTTCAAGGCATAGAGCAACGTCGGCCCCGCCGGCTCTGGAGCCTCGGTCCGTTCGACACCGGTCCGATCGCCCCGATCGCTCCGTTCGATCGGCGTAAGGCCAGGAGCCCATGATGGTAGCTTCTTGTTACGAACGTTGCAAACTCTCCTCTTCCATCCCAAGCAAGAGTTCTCCACGCAAACCCACAAAGACAGTGAGCAAGCCCTTGTTGTGGTGCCCGCAGCCAAAAGCCATATGGACGCGCCAGGACGCGTAAGAGTTGTCCGAATGCCAGAAGTCTTGTCCTGCCGAGCAGATCGGAAACCGCCTCGCTCACGCTCTCGCGGGTCGGACGCTTTTGCTGTCCAAAACCCAAAGAAGAAGCCAGAACAAGGTCTTGGGCCTCGCCAGGTGTCAGGTTGAAGTTCCTTTGGCTGAAAAGAAGTTTGGAGGGGTCCAATGTGGAGGCATCCTGTACCTTTGGGCTTGTGCATTTGGAGTCCTCTCCTCCTGTACATAGTCTAGGTCATTCGGGTGAGTCGAATTCTTCCATTGGGGCACTGATTGATGAGAAAGGTCACCTGCTCAATTGGATCGAATCTCTACACCCCGTCCAGAGATCTCTGTTTTACATCAGACTGTTGGCGAATTCATCGTCTTCCGCCCTCAAAATGGCAGCGCTTTTTTGCTCGGCAGGAAGATCTGACTGTGGCATTCCAAGGACCCAAACCTCCAAAGACTTCATCTCCTGAACCGGTTTTGACCCCGCAACATGGATGGATCCGCATCCGTCTTCATTTTGCTGAGTCGTCTTTCTCTCTACATCTCCCACCAGTCACACCACCCATCCAAACCCCATCCAGACCGCATCCAGACCGCAGACCGCAGACCTCTCCGCGCCTCGTGGCGTGGGATCCCGGTCGCAGGTCCGATAGATCGCCAGCGCCCGCGGCTGCCCGGCCGCCTTCGCCGGCTCTGCCAGCACCGCGGCCCAGCGGAGCAGCTCCTGGCGGTGGACCGGGCAACGGCCGGGCAACGGCTGGAGGGTGGAGGATGGTGGAGGTGGGAACACCCCAAAAAAAACATGGTGGATGATGTCACTCCCAAAAAGGAATAGACCTCCCACATCCAACCTTTCTTTGACCAATACGGCGGGTGCTTCGGTCTTCTTCGGTCTTGGGGCTTTTCGCATGGGCCGTTTCGCGGCCGAACACCGTCCGGCACACACAAACCCTCTGTGAGTGGTCCGGCCATCAAGGGGTGATGGGTCAGGATCCTCCCAACCTCCTGGGGACACCAAGAGGCTGGAGGCGTCTTTTCGGCATCTTCGTCGTCTCCACCGACGGAAGGGACCGGTCGCGATCCATGCTGCGTGGTCACTGTGAGACTGAGGACAATTCAAGGGAGGAGTCTCATCCAAGCTGGTTGAAATGAGGTAACAACCCGGGAAATCTGGTCCCTTGGATGGACGAAGGCCCAACCACTTGGGGTGTAAAGGACCTGAATTGCAAGCCATAGTGCAATAGGCTGTTCAGGTCTCCGAGGTCAGCTCTTTCTTTCTGGCCGGGAGCAGCATGCAAGTCATCCAACTCAGGGGAGGGCCTTTCGACCAACTTGGGTTTCCCTTTCGACCAAAAAGAAGGGCTGAGACTGAGAGGCAAGAACGTCCATGTAGACGAGCAAATGGGCAAGTCTTGGAACATTCCAAAATGTCAGTGAAAGCCTCACGTAGAACTTCTGTACTTAGTGTACTTCAACAATCAAGGTACCAAGTTCAAGCAAAGAGGTTTTGGGGGTCCCCATCTCCCGACACCTTTTGATTTAAATATGCCTGAATGTTCCAACTGAACCCATGATTTGTGAAGGATTTTGCGTGAATCCCAACCTGCATGGAATCCTTTCCTCCTCCACAATGTCTTGGTCGCGAAAAATCAGCAAGCCATACTGCCAGAACAGCTTCGCGAGCTCTTTGGGAAGTGCTTTCGCCAGGTCAACGCCTGCTCCAATGAATCTCTCGTTACACCAAAGAAAACGCCTCCGAGCTCCGAAATTAAGAAAACATAAGTAAAGAACACCACGGAACCAGTATAGAGGATAATCCTTTCCACCTATTAATAAACACTCCCCAACTAAAAAACACAACGTCCGAATCCCTAATTTTTGCTTATATTTGTTTTTAAATTACCGCCCTTTCAAGCCGCTACTAAACTACCAAAATGGTCGATTTTGGGGATAGTTTTTTTAAATAGGTTCCCACAAAACTCCCTCGTGACACGCCGCGCTTACACGAGCAGGTTTTCCTTCCTCCAGTGGCACGGACTCACGCAAACGCACTTGCCACCGAGGTCGTGCAAAACCGCATGGCACAGCGACATCACCTTTCGAAAGCTTAGTTTATTAAAGGATTTTATATATTTTTTGTCTGGATTACTTTTTTGCAGCTCTTCCCAGGTGACCCTATTTTGGACCCCCCGATTTCAGGGACCCCCTATTAGAAAAAATGCGACCGAGTTTCTCTTATTAGGTGGGGGGGCCGTGTTTATTAATAGGTGGAAAGGATTACTTCAGTGCAAGTAGAGGCAACCGCAAGTAAAGGCAACACACACAGACGCAGCTGTCCCACACCTGTCCCCGGTTACAGAACTGCCGTTCGCCCCCGCCCCCGCCGATGTCCGCTCCCGTTCGCCTCGGACCTCCGCCCCGAAGGCGGAGCTCACGGGTTTCAGCTCCAATGGTTGACCTCGCGGCGGGATTTTCCCCACCGTGTAGATCACCGTTGACCACTGCAAATAAGGAATTAAAGTAAATAAGGGATCTACACGGTAAGCGTCTGTAAAACAAAAAAGAGATCTACTAAGGGATCTACTAATAAGGGATTAACAGGGTTGTAAAACACATAAGGTATTTAAAAATATCCGAGAAAGCGTTCCTCACCATCATCTACGGAGGCTTCTTTGCGACCGGAATGGTGCAACCGTGTTGGTCGGCCCGTGTCACCCAGGTCTATCTCCTCGTCTTCCGTCCGGCTCTCGGTCGCGCGGCGCGGAAAATCTGCAGCGGTCGCGTGGCGCGTTGTTTGGTCGGCCCAGCTCGTCCTTCGTCGGGGAGCAGCGCGACAGCAGCGCTCAAAGCAGCCTGGGATCAGAGTGGTCCGCCAACACCAAGTAAGAACTAGTTGTGGCAGTGAACTCGGGAACCTGCCGAAAAAGGATCTTTCATCATGTTCTGGGCAAGTAGTAGCTCTGAAAACCGCCGTTCTCAAGCAACCAGGGTGGTCAACCGTGTGGCAAACTGTTCGAAAGTGGGTACCTCACCTTTCCATACTATCCTCTTCATCCGATGTGAGTTCGTCCCTTTGTCTTGCTACAGGTGCAGGCCATGTCGAGAAAAAATCAGGAAAAAGACTCTGTTCGTCAATTGATCCAATTTCTAGATTGACCTTCCACAAATTCAAGCACCTGACCTCCTCAATGCCCCGCCGCTCGCGGCGTTTCTTGGCTGCTGCCCGGAGAAGCGTCAGCAGGAGGAGCAGTGGAAGCAGCCCAAAGATCACGGCCGCAAGATCAGCATCGCCTACTGGTGAGACGAAAAAACATCCCCAAGGATGCCGGACGAAAAAAATAGAAGCTGGACTTGAGATGAAACAAGAGAAACATGTATTTTAGAGACCCCACTGTCTCTGTGTCTTCCTTTCTTTTCAAACAGTGGGGTCTTGGCGAGGTCAACGCCAAGACCTCGCCAGTTGCTGTCACCGGGGCTCTTTCAGCGTGACATCTGCCACAACGGCCCCCGCGTCACTTGTGCACGCTTGCCCGCGTCACACGTTCACCACCCTTCTCGCTCCCGCGACCGGCCTCCAAAGGCTCTTCTCTGCGCCCGACCTCTACACAGCCCTCCTGACCTCACCTGCGAGAGCGGTCGCCGCGAGCGCGCGCGCATGCGCGCGCGTGTCTGAACACGGAAACCTTCGGTTTCCGCGCCAGGTAGTCTTGAGGTTGGTGTCTATTTCTAGTCTTGTTGATTGCCGGGATGAGATGCTGAACTGGTGTGAACTGCGGCTGTGGTCGAGGACTGAGCGGTCGACGTGCTACTCCGCCTCTTGGAGGAAGCGACTCGGACTCGTCCGGAAGCCCAAGCAGAAGGCGTGCGAGGGTGCGGACCGCGCAGATGGACTCATCGTTCTCTGAAACCAGTTCAGGGGCGTTGGAAAAGCATGGCTCAGACAACCACCCGAAACGAAGCCGGGTCCGATAGTTCTGGGGATCGCAAACCACCCGAAACGAGGGTCCGGGCCGTTCGGTCTCGTTCCGATGGCCATGCGCGCCGCCTTTGGGATGCGCCCCCCCCAAGATCTGAGCCCGGCATCGCGGCCAAGCAAGAGACCAATCGTATGAATTATCCCCAACAGCAAAAGGAGCAGTATAGTGCGACTCAGTGCAGAAAATACGTATGCATGAATTGAATGTTCCACCTTCAGTTGCCTGACAAGTGGGGCAAAGAGCTATGTCTGAGAAGAGGGAAGAAAGTTGCTCGAAGGAAATTGGTCGTACAACCCTTTTCTCCAACTATCCAACTATCATATTCCAACTATCCAGTCGCAGTTCACTTGTAGCGCACTTTTTCGGGGTGTGAACATCTTGGTGTGGTGGATCGTCTGCAAGGAGGAGCTGCAGCCTCGAGTCGCAACCAAAATCGACGTGTCGTTTCCAGAAAAGCACTGCAGTTACTTCAATTCCCAAAATCACACACACAATCTTATCCAAAAACACTCAGCTGACACACTCAACAGCAACTCGTGTAAGATCATTGAAATCATGGCCAATCTCGCGCAAACTTCAGCAACTCAAAGCCGCGAATTGCCAGGAAAAGCAAAGGACATCGCCATGGCATCCAACACGGTCGAGCGAAGATCCAACAGGTCTGATAGTCCGATGCGTGTGCTTTTTTGTGCATCCGAGGGCTTGTGCTTTTGATCGGGCTTGATTCAAGTGATTCAAGTCTCGTCTTGGACGAGGAAATCCTCCAGCTCCGAATGCAAATAGATAAGAGTTGCTGCTGTAAAAAGCAACCAGTCGAATGTGCTGGAGCTGCAGTTTACACGACGTACGAAAAACCGCATACTCCAAAGCACACTCGACGCCCCATCGCTTGAGGACTTGGACGCTAAAAATCCGAGTCAGTTGCCGAAAATTCCGGAACTGAGCTCGCCCTTTCGGGGTCGGAGGCAGAAAATTCCGGAAGTCGGAACAAGGCCCCTCCACGGTCGGAGTCGATCTCGAAACAATCGTCGTAACCATGGTTTGGAGCGCTCGCTCGGGGCCTGTCTCCTCCCCTCATTCTGGCATCCCCTCTCAAGTGCCTCACTTCCTCTCGTAGCTGTGCCACTTCTTCCCTGAGCTCGACCAGTTGCACCAGCTCAGCGAAGTGATGGCTAGCATAGTGGGCCTCCAGCTCCTCCAACGCCACCTCACCAGGGCAGAACATGCGAAAAAACTCGCTTACCTTCACCGGCCACGTGTCACGAAACCGGCGGGTTCCTGTTGGGGGAAACCAGTCTAATGAAACAAAGAAGGCCTGGGGACCGAGGTCTAAACAAGGACCCAGCTTTCTACTGGTGTGACAGGGCTCACGTGGACGATCGATGTTCACCAGCTCACCTGATCTCCACATAGTTGACACTTCTTCCACTTAGCTTCGCATTCCTCTTGGTGTTCTTCTTCGCGATCCGCATCATAGAAGGTCTGGCAGGCAGCACAGGTCACTTGGCGCTTGGGACACTCCTTCCGATGCTCCGCCTGACGGACACAGCTTCGAGTTTACTCCCTATGGATCCACGTACCGAACCTCAGAAGGCACACCTTGGACCCGACAATGGCGCCTACATAAATAGTGAACTCTGCTCACCGTACCTCAGATTCGGTATGTGGATCCATAGGGACTTCAAAAACGTTCTTTGACGCGACCAATGAAAAGAAAGAAAGGACGCACATCGTCAGACGCACCAGACGAACCAAGCGAACCAGACGACGCAACCTTGTTTCGTCGTCCTTAAACCCTTGACTCAACTCTTTTGTTGTGAGAAACTGGGTCTTTCAACTCGCGTCTTCTGGCAGCACAATCATTTTCGGGCTCGTCTGAGGGAAATGATGCAAACTCCAACAGTTTCAAAGTCGGGAGGAAGTCGGGGTTGTCACATCCACTCACAGGATGGGGTCCACAAACCAGTCCGGACTGGAACTGCTGATGGTTTCCCCACCTTCTCCACCAAATGGAAGCTCGCACCACACTTGTTGGAGCATTTCACCAGGAGGTTCTTGATGGATCTCCGTTCAACATGTGCTGGCGCGATGCTGGAGCCGTGCTCGCGGCAAACAGGGCATTTGCTATCCTCAGCGATGCATTTCAGCCAGCAAAGCTCACAAAACAGCACGGAGCCACAACCATGTGCCATAGCATCGCGGGCCACCAGCATGCAAATGGGACATCGGAATCTTTCCACATCTTGCTCTGCCCTCCATTCCTCATCATAGCCACCTTCAACCTGCTCTGCCTCCACCGTGGCATCTCGAGAGCTTGCATCCGCTATCTGCGGCGGCTCATGAAAGCAATGAGGTGTATCCTTCAAATACAAATGCCTTACAGCTGCCAAGGGCGCCACTTTGGATGGATTCTCGGCATAGAACCAGTCGCCTGCGACGCGTCGGATGGTGGCTTTCGTGCCCACATGAAAGTGCAGCCTCATGAGGCCGTTCTCTTCCGGACATCCAAACCAGTTCACTTTGCTGGAGACCTCTCGAAAGTCCACCACATCACCTTCTCGAAGGTCGCGCCGGGTCCCCAACCAAAGAGAGGGCGCCGGTCCAGGTCCATCCCTGGGGAACCATTGAGTCGGTGGCAGGGGCGAGCCGTGCTCAGGGCCACTGGAAGGACCTTCATAGTCAAATTGACAACCATCGAATCGATTGTTGCGGTGCAAATTCCACTTGCCCTTCTTGAAATACATCACTGCGCTCGAGGTCGAGCCAGCACATTGGTAGACCGGCCGGTCGGAGACCGCCGGTCTCGTGCTTTTGGAGAAGCGGCCATTCACAGAGGGCAACCCGGCACCTCGAACCTCAAAGAAGGGAAGTGGCTGCCCTGGCTCGGGTTCTTGCTCCAAATACCTCGGCTGTGGCTGAAGGAATGGCACTTCGGGCTGGCCCAGGGTGTAGCCTTCCGTCGTCCACCCGAAGGTGGGCGGAATTGGGAGAATTGGATCCGGATGCTTGTAGAACCAAGAATCCTCCGAATTCTCGCTGTGAATCTTCCAATTCCCGGCAAAATAGATGATCCCCGAAGCGCCTATTTGCATGTATTTGGGCTTGCCATTGCTTGACCCCATGCACACGTAGCAGCCATTCACCACCTTTGCTTCATCGCTGGCACCCCGAACCCAAATAAATCTCGGAGCAGTGTCAGTTGCTGGAATCAAAGCGACATGTTCTACCTCTGCTGCTTTTCCCCCTATGAGGGAGCTCCATTGACCTGCGGGAGGCGATCTGCCCGAGAGGTCTCCGTGTTCATAGTAGCAGCCCGACGCCCGTTCTTCGTGCTTGATCTTCCAGCCCCGCCCTACGCTCACGACCACTCCGCGCCCGCCGATCTGACGGAAGATCGGCCTCCCCTTCAGATGCTCCGCACGCGCATAGTGACCCTGGAGCTGCTCCGCCGTGCCGGCCACGCGCAGCAGTTGCGGCACCGCCGCGAGGCTGGGAGGGTCGGTGGCGGACGTGGAGCTCGAAGCCCATCGACCCAAAGGGAGCTGTGAGACCGGAAGGCCGGGATGTCGGAAGGTCCACTGGTCCATGGTGGCACCAATCTTCCACTCTTCACTGAAGTAGATCATGGCAGTCTGATCCAACTTCTGGTACATGGCTTTTCCATTGTGCATGCCATGATGACCATAGAAGCCGCTGAGACCCGATCGATCACAAGCCACATAGACCTCTTGCAGCACGCCGCCTCGCCATGAGAATAGAAAACCGCACGGCCGTGAGGCGATCAAAATCGAAGCCCAAGTTGGTTGGCGATACCCATCTAAACAGCCACCCCTAGGGCTCCAACCACATCCTCAAAAGGTGGTTAGACCCCCCTGGCACCCACCACAACCACCTTCTGAGGTGGTTGGAGCCCTAGGGCAAAACATTGGTCAAAAGGATGGCTGTGGGTCATGAAAAACTGGGCGACGCTTGATTTTATCCCACCACTTCCATGAACCGAATGGTCTTTTCTGCACGTGGTCTTCCTAGCAGGGTGAAAGGGGGGGTCTTGGACCCACGGCCAAATACTTGGATTGTTCATCCGCTCACCAGCATAGCGTTGGGAGGAGCATCAACTCTGGGACGAAACATGTCAACTCTGAGACCTTCCGACACATCAACTGCTGACAAAATGTGGGAGCACCATGCACGATTGTTGAGTCTAGTTACTCTAGCTGTAAAGCTTTGTCTCATATAAATAGGCAGAGCTTCGCGCTAACTTCTAAAGTACGATGCTTCAAACGTCATTCGAGCATCTTTAAAGAGAATCTGCTGGACCGACCTGCAACATGCTTAGTTTTTTGCCGTTTCACCACTTGAAGATCTGGGAAGTCACAGAAGCAGTTGCTCTTGAAGAAACCGAGTTCCCATACGCAGGGGACAAAACAAGGGGAGGGGAAGGGCACGAGTTAGCTCTGAAGTGGTTGTGGGGAAACCTCTGCTGCAAGTGGGATGGTGTTGAGCTGAAAAAGCAAATCTTTATTGAAATCAGCTGAGAAACCCGAGACACAGTGCTCCTTGCCCATCAAGCTCACAGCACCCAAGCCTGCCAGTGGCGCGATCTTCTCCGGAAATTCCCGGGGATAAAACCACTCTCCCCGAAGCTCATGCACCGTCACCGTCCACGAGGTACCTGAAAAGGACAGCCTCTTGGCAGGGCCCTCAGGACATCCAGTCCAATCGAAATCAGGGCACTCTGCAAGGGTCACCACATCGCCTTCCTTGATATCTCGGTAGTTCCCCAACGAAAGGCTTGGCGCTACGCCCACGAGCGATGGACGAGTTACCCAGTGTTCAAAGGGCGGCAGGTTGCCGTCGCTCCCTTCGCACGGAGGGGCTTCATAGAACCATCCATCCCTGCGGTCTAGAGCATTCCATCTCCACTTGCCCCATTTGAAGAAAATGATGGCCTCACCCTCCACCTGCTTGTACCCGCTCTCGGCCGCATATCGGCCGTTGATCTTCCCGCGCTCGGCGCCGCGCGCCACCAGGAACGGCGGCAGGGCGGCACCGTGCCGCGCGCGACGCGGAACGAAGCGTTCCGCGTCGAGACCTCTGCGCCAGGGGCGGTAGCGCCACCGTCGGCCACCGTCGCCGGAGTCCGAGCTTCGCACGGAAGAAGAACGGAGAGTCGATGCGTCACCCCAAAGGGTCGGAACCGAAGTCCGGTAGATGATTTAAAGGGAAAAGAGAGAGAGAGAGAGAGAGAGAGCGAGAGCGAAGGGAACCCACGAACCCGACGCTACCCAAAGACCCCCAAAGTTCAACGATAACCCTTCGCTACGCATTCGCAGGCGGTTGGCATGCCATCTCTCAACATTGATGCGGGTGAGCAGGAGAACTTCTGGTCCCAAAAAGAAGGGGTGGTGCCTCTAGTGGACTACCCAGAAGCTCTAAAGACAGGCCTTAGGTCCCTCAAAAACATAGGGATTTGAGGGTCCAGATGAGGGTACTGCTCCCTACTTAGGAGGATCCATGAGCGTCTGGGTAAAAAAAACAAAAGAGCATGATCATACATGATCCAAAGTCAACAGTGGGCCTGTTTAACGTCGCAATTGGCCTACCCAAATGGATCAAGTCTGAAAACCGGACGAGCTCCGGGTTCGCTCATCCTTTGATAGACATCTCAGAAACAGAATTCTCCCACCTTCGACCACAATGCACTCCGGCAGCTCCACAGTTTCATCTGGTACCTCTCCTTGGAAACAAGCAGGGTGTGTAAAGAAATGCTGTTTTGAGATTCATTCAAGAACCCCCACATTCTGTGGTCATTCCCTAGGAATATACGCGCGCAAAAGGGCGTCGAAAGTCTGCACTGAGAATGTGACCAGGGCTGTCTCTATCCATCAAAAGTTCGCTTCTAAATAAAACTGGCTATATACTCCCTGTTCGCAGTGCTGCATGAAGGATCCCCACAAACAAGCACAAATTGGATTCAATTTTGGGCTTAGTTCACCTCAACTTTAACAGAGCTGAGTGTCCAGGGCTTGATGCAGCTGGAGATCCAGTAAGGTCATCATGCGCATCTCCTGTTTCACTTTCTTGAACATCGGTGCAGGGTTCCTTGGAGAGAGTGGGTGGTGAACCGTAGTTTGGAGAAGCTGTCACCCACTTACTCAAAGGCGTTGGTGAATCAATCTCCGCTTGATAGCACCACCCACCAGTATTATCACCATCATTTAATCTCCAACTCCCCAACTTGAACAAGATGATCGCCTTGCCATCGATCTGCTTGTACTTGCGCTTTCCCTCGAAAGCCCCAGCATGAGAATATCGGCCATTGACTGGCCCATAACCTGCACCTCTCACCATCAAGTCGCCTGGTAGAACCTCGCCACCACTGTCCGCTGCATCTGACATGGATGAGAGTGATGCCCAGGACGAAGCATAATCAGATGCGAAATCGTCCTGCCGGATGCAAGCGCCTGAGCAAAGCGTTCCATGTCCCACAAGATCGATTATATGCTTGGAAATCTACCAACAAACGTCCAAGTATAGAAAAAACCATGGAAGTTCACTGAAATGGTCTAATGGATGTGGATCCGAAATAAAGACCAAACAAAGACGCGGCACCATTGCGTGCGTCCTCTCTTCAGGTGATGAGCTTGAGTGATACTCCATTTTTAAGCTATATATACTCCGTCATAAGTTATCTCTTAGAAACTGTCCGCAAAGTACAAACCTGTCGCACAACCAACAACCGTGACAGTCATGCTGGCACCTTCGACCACGACACCCTGCTCAGGCTCTGTCACACTCTCATCTGGTACCTTTCCTCGGAAACAAGCAGTGTGTGTAAAGAAATGCTTTCCAGCAGTCACAAAGGGGTGCCTATTGGAGGATAGGGGTGCCCAGAACATCCACTCACTTGGGGACTAAAAACCACCCCTGTGTGACTCCTGGTTACATAAGATTCATTCAAGAACTCCCACATTCTGTGGTCAATCCCTAGGAACATACGCGCACAAAAGGGCGTCGAAAGTCTGCATTGAGAATGTGACCAGGGCTGTCTCTACCCATCAAAAGCTCTCCTTCAGCATCTGGTCTTAAAATGAAACTGGCTGTGTACTCCCTCGCAGTGATGCATGAAGGATCCCCACAGACAAGCACAAATTGGGTTCAATTTTGGGCTTAGTTCACCTCAACTTTAACAGAGCTGAGTGTCCAGGGCTTGATGCAGCTGGAGATCCAGTAAGATCATCACGCGCATCTCCTGTTTCACTTTCTTGAACATCGGTGCAGGGTTCCTTGGAGAGAGTGGGTGGTGAACCGTAGTTTGGAGAAGCTGTCGTCGCCTCGCCATCCACAGGCGAAAGCATAAGGGGCTTGCCTTCGAATTGGTCCACATGGGAATATTGACCGTTGACTGGCTCACATCCGGCACCGCTCACCATCAAGAATTGCATCGGGAGAGCATCTTCGCCTGCATCTGATAGCTTGCCTTCCAGAAGGATTGGTCCTTTCAAAAAGCTCTTCAAACAATGTCCAAAACCAAAACATGACAGCATACACTCCAAACAGGACAATGCAGCCACAGCAACCGCTAATCAAGGAGAAGCAATCTTGCATTCCAGCTTCTGACCGTCAGAACACAAAAGCTAGAACACAAAAGAACAACCCGGAACAGGGCACAAGCTCCAAAAACCACAACATCCTTGTCCCACAATGCACCCACTCCAGAAAGGCAAGACACGGAATGCGCCTTTGAACTTGGAGAAAGCAGGATTGACACATGATTGACACGGACCCTGTCCTTTCTGGTTCAATTACGTCAAGTGACCCTGAACTGCACAAGCAGTAGAAGGCCCATACTACTTACACTTAATGCCAAGTAAACCCTGCTGAGAGTCCGGAGCTTGATGCAGCTTCCGCAGACCCAGTCTCCACACCCTCATCCCAGTCTTGAAGATCGCCTGCGACCCAGTGGCCCTCTGCAGATCTGTCACCATGGTTCTGCAGATCTGTGCCCCTCATCTCTCTGGGTCGAAGTCCCTCTGACAAATCCCAGTGCATCTCAAGACCCCAGTCACGCGCCCTGCACCGAGTTCCCATCTGTTTCTGGTCTGACCTGCTCTTGCCTGAGAGTAGCTCACTGAGAGCGTCTCGGAATGGGGAGCTTTCTCCTCGCGATGGTGGATTTGAGCTGCAGATTTACTTCAAGAATTGAATTCAAATCATCCAAAAGGGGTACCAGTAACGGAAGTCAAAGAAGCTCTTCCACTCACAAAGAGGATAGGTCTGAGTGGAGGCCCGCTCCTCTTCGTGAAACTGCAAGAGCCGACGAAACCAAAACGCCGGCGTTCCAGAAAAACAAAAAAGAACAGTACCTTGCCCTGTTCTTCAGCCTTGAACGCGTCCACGCAAGGCAAAACGACTCCAAGGTCGGTCGGTTTCTCCGCGGCTCCTCGACACGGAGCCCGCCCAGAGGGTGTGAGATCATCATCACCGTGCATCGCACGCCCATGCGCCCAGCGGAGCCCACGCGTCGTCCTTTGGGGCGGTCGCGGTCGCGCCGTTCGGCGTGCAGGGGCCTCCCCCGAGCGGCGAGCGATGCTGAGCCGTGAAGCAACGGTGAGGACCGTTCATTCCAAGAGTGAAACTCCGGACGTTCCAAGGTTCTTAGACTCTTAGAAGCGTTAGAAGGAGCAATTCCCCTCCCAACTCCTGAAGAGTCAATTCTTGAGTCTTCTTGACCTCCTTTTTCGTGACCAGGGTGGCTGTTTCTAGTGGCTCCCTAGTCCCAACCCCATCAATCGCCCTGCCGGGCCAAAGAACCAAACCATGCCTTGGCCATCCGTCGATCCGTGTTTCGCAAGTGGTCAGCTCTCTACTTGATTGCAGTCCATCTGACCCATCCCAGTCTAGATCAAGACCCCAGGTGCGTGTGCAAAGAACCCCTTGGGTTTGGGCTTCTGCTTTTCGCTTCAGACCAGGTCTTGCCTGAGAAGCGTAGCATCATCTGATGTCAAAGTATTGGAACTATCTCCTCGCGATGGATGTGAGCTTGCAGATTTGCTTCAAGAACTGAATTCAAACCATCCAAAGGGGGGTACCAGGAGAACACATATCAAAGAAGTTCTTCTGTTCATGAAGAGAATGGATCAACATGTTTGAAGGAAGTGCTTGAGGCAAGGAAGTGCTTGAGGCAATAAACAACCTTCCTAGACTTCTACTGACCTGGTAGTGATCTTAGTCTGTCAGTGCTGAGACTTACAACCGGCGCGGGGCCAGGGCCTTGCCGTCAAGGACCCCACACAAAGCTCCTCAGAGTTCCATTGACATCGTCAGAAGCAACCCCTGCGCCACAGCGTCGCTGGGCGCAAAGCCGTGCAGAAGAAGCCACGCCTCCACTGGTCGACTGGGTAGACTGGTCGATGTCGGCTGAGCCGAGGTCTCCCGAACTGCATACATATGGGACCGTTACACCAAACAAACGATGACCCAAGAGATGGAAGAGAGTGGGACTCTTCGGGGAGGGAACCCTAAAACTGGTAATGCAAGTTGGTCAAGTGAATCAATAGCTGGGCACTTAGAGACACTTCAAGTCAGCCGTTCTTCACTGAAAAAGCAGGACATGTCCTGAATTCTCTCGGTCTCGCTCTCGGCCACCGGTGAGGCTGCTTTTCGTCGGCCGGCGGTGAAAGGAAGAGGTGCGGAGTCTTCCCCGAGCCGAGCCGCAGCACGGAACGCCGCGCACGGACCCGCGGGCTTCGGCTCAGGAAGGTACGCAGTCCGTGCGGCCACGGGCTTCGGCTCCTCAAGTGGCTTCGGTCCCAGCCCCCGTCCCTTCTCGACCCCTTCGACCTCTCCGCGAGTCGCGAGTCGCACGAGGGGCGCAGAGACGTGGAGCTCACCGGCAAACCGGACGAGTCGTTGCCTGCATTGAAGAACAAGCCTCTCGGCCCTCGTGCCTCTGAGAACATGGCAATTCTCAACGACTCCAGCTTTATAGGGCACCAACTACTCAATAGAGTTCATGTCCCATCGTTCAGCCACTCCTCTTCACCCAATTGTTCACCCACGTGTTCGCCCAGGTCCGAGGTCCAGAGGTGATGGGTTGAAGCTCTGTTCGTGTTCGAAGCCAAAGACGGCCTGCAAACCCACCATAAACCGTTCCCCCATCAATTAATTAACAGTCTTCAGTTGCTTCATGTGAGAATCAAAACATCTTCGTGGTCGTAGCCCAGTACAGACTCCAAGCTCCCCAGCCCAGCCTGCAGATGCACCTAGAAGGCGACGGCGGCTGTCCAAGCTGTGCTGTCCGAGCTACCCGAGTTGTCCGGCTGTAGCAATTCTTGGGCCGGTCTTTTTGGATCACAGGAAGACTGAAGAAAAGCTGAGAAACAAACCAGGTCAATTAGCACGGACACATCTATGAGAGATCCAACTTGTCTGCATAGACATGTTCCTTTCGAGCTCTAGTTCGCCCTCAAACATCAGGATTTGGAGGGTCATTTCTTGGGTTCGTACATTTGAGCTCTCCCTGCGCATGCCAACAAAAGAAAGCAAACGAACAGAACATCACAGAATCATCGACAGTATCCTGGATATGTTTCGTTTGAGATCCACAACCTAAATCACAACCAGCTGACCTGAGAAGGTGTTTGTTATACCGGGGTGTCCATCTGGTTTTCGCCCCCTCACCCGACCTTGGCATGCTCTTCACCGACTCGCTGACACAGGGCGTGGTCTGGAGCTGAGCCCAACTCGAGCAATGGCCAACGCTGCCAAGAGGAATCTCTTCATGTTGCCAATGTACTCTATGCACGGATATGGCCCAAACGGCCAAGCGTGCATGAAAAAACCCAAACGAGGGATGCAAAAGCCATGTACCGTACAACGCACGCCTTCTTGGCATATTTTGTACTTCGTTCGCCAAATGTTTAAGACATGTTAAAATGTTTAAAGGATTAGATTTATGTCTTCTGGGACCCAACCTAAGACTGTAAAATTGAAAATCATCGTTTGCAAATAAAAGCCAAAACATTGCGATTGGTGATGGCCCAGGTCTTGCACACTGCAAAAAATAAAGGCAAAAAATAGATCTAAAAAACAAAATGCACTCTCAAAAGAGCACAAAAAATTGCAAATCCCAAGAAATTGCACCATGGCCATGTGGATCATTTGACATGTTGTTGATTCTGTGGTGTCTTTTAGCAATGTCTTTTGTTTTGTTTGCAATGTCTCTCGCTTTTTGCTTTGTTTTTTTGAGCTTTTTTCTAGCTTCTTGCAAAATGTTGTTTTTGCCTGTTCACAATTTTGATCACAATTGTTTCGCAATTGGTTCACAAAAAATATCAGGATTTACCGAGTTAGGTTGACGCTGCAAATAAGATTTGATTGGTTGGATGCAGCTTGTGGTACCAGCAAGATAGGAACAATTACCCGAAGCTTCCACCATGATTTGGTTTTGAAGGTGTTTAGAGTTCCCGATTCAACTTCAAACTCCGTCGCAAAAACCTTGAATTTGGAAACGTTGTACAGTATGCAAGTGGGTCCTTGTTCTGCCTATTCACTGTTTGGACTCGTTTTTGCAGAAAAAAGCCTTGCCAGACTGCGCTCTCTGAGCAAAGATGGGCGAACCCAATACGTGGCGCAGTAGCCACGCTGAATGTGCTTTTCCTGATTTTACCAATACGACCATTTGCCCAGCGAATCCCACACAGATTCGTTAAATCATGTTAATGTTGATCTAAATCTGGATGTTGCACACAATCCGGACATCGTTATAGCTCTTAGGGCCTTAATCTCTTTTGAACGTCGTATGCTTTTTGTGGGCCTTTCCAAATGAATTTGTTAGGCAGCTTCATCGCTCCTTTTCACTCATCGCTGAGCCACTGTGTTGCGGAGTCACACTGATAAGAACAGATACTGCTCTTACATCTTTACATGTATGTGTGCTCATGTACATTTGAAATCTCTAACACCCTGCCTTGCGTGAGTTCTCTTTTCGAACTCTTAGCACACTATTCTTCCAGCTCTGTGGCCGTGAAGATCAAATGATCTCTATCTTCATCTCGGTTGTGCCATGCCTCCACAATTGCGTCCCAAGTCTGGTCGTACTCTCCATTCACCAAATCTCTGAACATCTTGTGGTAGTTGCGGTCATAGATGTCATACATCAGGGCATAGTCGAACTGTAGCCCTGGTTCCTCTGGGTTGTGCTTTGCTGCCAAAAGCTGCAGGAACTGCTTGCACAAATACTCCGGGAAAAAGCCAGCCTCGTAGATCCTTTCAACTCGGATCTTCTCGATTGCCGGGATGAGGGTGTACAAGTACCCCCCAATCCTCAAACCTGTTTGGAACTGGGTCAACAGGTTCTTCTTGCGGTTCTGGGCTGCTGCTTCTCCTTGCTGGTCGATCTTCTGGATCGCTGTCGGTCATTCCACCTTCTCTCTCTGAACTTGTAGGCCTGTAGCGGCGCACATAGCTGCTTCCATCTCTTGTCCTCTGGAAGTAGCTTTCTCCACTTGAAGCGTCGCTGGAATTCTCGAGGATCCTGTAGTTCACCATTCGTGCTTGAGTAGGAGACCAATCATAGATTGTGTTCTGCTCCTCCTCTTCAGTCCTCATGCGCACGTCACCATCTTCATCCACTTGTTGTTGTCCATGTTCTGGTCCATGCCTTTCTCGCACGCGTCTTTCGCTTCGGGCTATCAAGAAGCGGTCGTAGGCTGCTTGAACTCTGTTGACTCGAAGGGGTTCAAGCTGCGGTGGTTGAACTTGGTCATCACTCACATGTCCTCTGTACATCTCCAGCATCTGTGTTGTCTGCCGGACATAGTCTCTTGCATGTAGTTCTGCTAGAGCTCTGCGGTGCATGTCACGTCTCTTCCTCTGCATCTCATCATGAAGTTCCTTCAACTTGTTCCACCATGTGATCATGCGCTCTTTCAAAAGTGCTCCAGCAAGTACTCCTCCAAGGAGAAAAATGAAGTTCCAGAAAATGAAACCACGTAGAGTGAACTTGTAGTCCATCTCCCACCAACCAAGCCATGTCATTGCTTCTTGTTGGATCTCATTCTCCACGGTGTTGGTCATCTCACTTGTACCAAGAGTTTCGACACACATGCTCAGTAGTGTCACTGCTTTCACCATTTGGCGGGGAACAGGTGTTGGGCTTACACCATCCACAAGGTTTTGTAGAAGTGTTCTTCTCACCTGCTTCATCCTCTGAGCTGTTGCCTCCTTGCGAAGAAACTCATTGAACTCCTCTTCGCCAACCGTCACATAGCCTCCATTGTTTTCATCCTCCTCCACAAAGCCGAGAAGGTACATCAGGAAGTTACGCCGGTTTCTTGTCAGCTTCTTGGTGTTGAGGTCTGCCACATTCAGAAGGGTTCCCACTCCTGTGATAGAGAGGGTTTCTTTCTTCACCTCCTCCTGAATCCAAAGCAGTTTCGTCTCAATGTGCTTCATGCGCCCCACACCGAGGCGTTGCACAAACTGTCGACATGAAGACGAATCTGTCACTGCCACCACTTTGCATGTCTCTTGACATAGGAACCTCCAAACCTCTGCAAGATGAAGTGCTTCTGCCACTCCTCCAACACATGCTGTAAGCTCTGCCTCACAACTGGAAAGACAAATTGACTTTTGCGTCCTGCTCCAAGACTGCACTAAGCCTTTGTCCACAAAGATCATCACTGAAGACGTTGAGTGCCTCTTGTGTCTTTCTGAGCTGCGGTCACCTGCCCAATCACTGTCTGTGAAGCATTCCAGCACATGTCCATCCTCGACTTCATTGTGCTTGTCGTAGAGCTCATTCAGCTTACTGAAGTCCTTTCTCACATACGGCAAAAGAATGCCATAAGATTCTGTGCCTTTCAGGTAGAGGATCAGGTGCTGAATCCCCTTGACTGCTTCCTTCGTTGGATTGCTCATGAACTGAGCCAAATTTCTCACCGAGTTCTGGACATCTGGGCGATCTTGGGATAAGTAAAGAAGTGTTCCCAAGGCGCTTCTGAACCTCTTCTTCTCTGCCTGGTCGACGACTTCACCTTCAAGACGATCGATTGCGATGTCAGGCGTTGCGCGTTCCTTTCTTTCTCCAAGTCCATACAATTGAACCAAAGCTGGAATATACCTCTCATGAGGTTTCACTATCACACCTTGCTCACAAAAGTAGTAGCGCTTCTTCAAGAATCTCACCGGATCCTTTGGGCTTTGATCCTGCGGAAGAAGTTCGCCTCCGCTCATGGTGAAGATTTTCTTCAACTCCTCATTGGCCCATTTGAGCGCTTCTTCTGTTCCAGCTAGCACCATGTCATCAACGTGCGCCAGCACCACCACGTTCTTTGTCATGTGGCGGAACATCGCCGGAAGGCATGCCAGGCTTTCAAATCCCAATTGCAAAAGATGGGATGTCAGGAAGTCAAACCATCTTGCTGCTGCATTCCGCTGTCCTGGAAAACATCTCCTCAAGCTCCAATATTGAGAGGTAGCTTGGGTCCACCATGTAGGTACCTGTACCAGGATCATCTCTTGCTGCGGAACCAACAAAAATGCGTCCTTCACGTCCAGAAAACATAGGAACCACCTCCTCACACAATGCAAAAGAACCATGAGCCTTGTTGCTGCATTGTGGCTAGTGGGTGCAAATGTCCCATAGTTCCCCTTGTCACCAGCTTTGAACTCTCTTGCCACATAGCGGCATCGTCGTCGCCATTGACCATCACGAAATCTCCAATCAAACACGCTTCGCGTCGAAAGAAGTTTGCCATGTTCCTCCTCTTCTGGTGTAGGGTTCTCCATGACTCCCATTGCTAAGAGTCTTGTGATCTCGATGATCCCTGCCTCAGCTTCTACCTTCTCGAGTTCTTCTGCTGAAAGGTCAGGTGGCTGCCCTTTGTCCATAGGCTCCTCCATGTCCTCGTACTCCTCGTTCTCGAAGTCTTCAAGAGCCATTTCTTCGCCATCAAGGTCATCGTAGAGATCTTGCTCCCACTGGTAGTCATTGACCACTCGGTTGATGCTCCCAGCAAAATGCGGGGGAAACATCCGAGCTGTAGGACTTGAGCTTGGACTTGTTCTTGCTGCCTTCTGTTTTGGTTCCTTTGCCTCTGTATCATCCTCTATTGTTGCATCCTCTGCTGAAGGCAAAGTTGGTGTCGTTGGAATCTGAAGCCCTGCCTCGCCAAAGTTGGGTGCTTCCTCCTGCATGGAAGTTGAGGTTTGTTGACTTTCTACTCCCGGTTGGCCTGTCTGGGCGGTTTCCATCAAATTTGGTTCCTCTTCACTATCGGCATTGTCTAGCGCATAGCGCTCCACATCCTCTGCATCTTTGTCCTTAGGCTTCTCCACGGGTTTTGGTTCAGCTGCAAATCCAGGAACAATTCTGGGTGCACGTTTCTGTACATCTGCCAGCTTGTAGGGCAAATCCTTCACCATCCATGTGTAGATTGAATCCGTTGGCTTTGCTGTTCGTCTGATTGCCCTTGACTTCACCAAACCGCTGGGTGTAGAGACCACATGAAGGTCATCACTGCCATCTGTTGTTTTCCCCAGCCATATTCCTGGAAACCACTGAGGTCCATGCTTGTGTCCACTCTTGTTGAGGACGAGCACTTCCTCACCAAATCCCACAAGCCGTCCTGAGTAGCGGCGACCATTCACCAATTCAAAGGGTGAACATTTCACTGTGCTGTGGCAATGAAATCGATTCAAAAGCCATGCCGCATGAATGTAGGCCCATGAAACCAACGGATGCTGAACTCCATAGTTCATCTGACAATGCTCTTCCAACTGGTGCATGACTGTAGATGCCTGTCTCCTTAGAGTTTGTATTGCCCGCTCAACTTGGCCTGTGCGACCTTTGCTGTAGGGCTTTGCGAAGGTCAAAGTCGTTGCAAACCCAAGACTTTGTCTGATGGTCCTCACTGCCTCCATCACGGACTTCAACACTGGTTCATTGTCACTCACCAGCTCCATCAAGTCGTAGTAGTTCAGGTAGAGACTAAAGCGAACAATCTGTTCTGCTTGGTACTTGAGCGTCCTTGCTTTGGAAGGAATTGGAATAGCCAGCAAGTTCTTCGTGCCAGTGTCAAGAACCACCATCACCGTTGTTCCTTGCTCTCGGGACTGTTCCTTCACATAGCAATAGTCCACCTCCAAACTTGGAATTCTCCTTCTGGGCTCCTCATCCAACAACCTCTGTTTGTCCTCCTTTGACTTGCATGCCACACAATGGGGACACCACGGTCGAAATGGTAGATGAGTCAGCTGATGTAGCTGTACCTCTTCTTCTGTTGGCTGTCGCGGCAACGGAAGGGAGTGAAGTCCTTGAGGTCGTGCTTCTTCAAGGTATAGTTTGCTGGCCACTTCAAATGCCTCAATGGCCTCTTGCAACTGAATCTTCTCATTGAGTCTCTTCCACACTTGAGCTTTTGAACCTCCACGAGAAAGTCCCAAATACTCAGCTGCATTCCAAAGAAGCTTGATCGGACTGTTGGGATGGACCTCATGGCCGTTGATCATCAGGACATTACGATCCTCCACTGCCACCTTCAAGCTTTCCTCCTCATTGCCCCTGCCTGTGTCTGGTTGCTCCATTTCTTCTTGAGTCAAACCATCTTGTAGTTCTTGGGGCACACCTGGTTCTCCACGGAAAGCGAATTGGAAGTCAGGCTGTCCACTAGTTGTTTGCTCAACTGTATTGCCGTCACTCCGCGTCCGTTCTTCTCCAATGATCTCGCCCAAGACGTCTTCTTCCTCATTGGAATTGCGCAGAACTGTCAAAACATCACATGGTTCATCACATTCTGCAATCTGGCCTGTTCTGTTCTCCAGCTCCATGTAGCGACTGCAAAACTCCACAATGAGCCAAGCATTGTCCTCACCTTGTCGTACCAATGTGCTCCTCAGCGGCCAAAACCTCCAACTAAAAAGGTAGGAAGGATCTTGAAAGGTGTCGCTGTTGGTCGAAATGGAAAAGGGTCGTCCACCACTGTCAAACCTCCAACCCTTCAGACCAACACGTTCCATCATCGAATCTGCGACCTTGACCACTGTCTGCACAAGGTAGAGCTCCTTGTCTTTCTCCTCAAGTTGAACATGCAGCGCTTTCTTAGGAATAGGAGTTGTAGTGGATTTCTTCAACTTCACTTGTCGAATGTGTCCATGAACTGCCAGAGAATTGCGCTTGTAGACAACAGGGATGATGCACTCTCCATCTGGTGAAGTTAACCCTGTTCGAGCTTCTGCTTGAGGAAGGTTGCGAAAGCTCCAACCCTTTTGAAAGAGCCTGCCCAAACTGATGAGTGGGCTTTGCACCGAAGCTACAATGAACTCATCGTTCACCAACACAACATCACCAGCTTCCGTCCACATCTCAATCTGTCCCATGCGTCTTCCATAGGACTTGACCACATTGCCCTGAGCATCTTCCAAGGCTGCCGCTGTTTGTTCCATCTCCTTGTCCTTGCACAGCTCATATGGAAGAAGGCTGATGTCTGCTCCGGAGTCCAGGATCAACAGGTCGTTGCTGTTCACCATTCTCACATGCTCAACAGGTTTTGCTAGCCACTCATAGAATTTGTCCTGCTCTGGTTGGAACATCTCGTCGTCCAGGATATAGGACACCACACGCACTGAATACCACTCCTCCTCATCATTTTCATCCAGCTCAAAGAACTCTGGATAGTCCTCTGGGGGTGTTGCCACATGGTACATCTTCACCTGTCGAACTTGACCTTTGCTCCCAGCCTGGGAAGTCATTGTCGATGAAGTTGACTGGGAAGGTTGCCTGAGGTAGGTCACATTGATCTGACTTGCACTGTCAGGCAAATTGGTTGAAACTTCTGAAGTTCCATGGTGAACTGTTGAGGCTGCGTTCACCTGCATAGGCGCTTGACCATAGCGAGCGTGAGGGCATTCATTACCCCAATGACCATATTCTTGGCAAATTCGACATTGCGTTTTGCCTTTGCCCTTGTTTTTGCCTTTCTGTTTGCCCTTGTCTTTTCCTTTGTTCTTGCCTTTCGACTTGGTCTTGCCTTTAGCTTTGCCTCCTCGTCCACCTCCATAGCCCCAAGGAAGCCACG